CGCGGCAGGCGTGAGGTTAAGGGCGCTCAGCTGCTTCGGCCGCCGTGGAGGGTGTGCTGGGAGCTGTCCTGCCGCCACCGGGGCCCCAGCTTGCTCCACCGCTGCCTGCGGGCCTCGGGGCAGGGCCGGTGCTGCAGCCGCCCGCCCGCCGTGTGCGCACGGCGCGCCCACGCCCGCAAGATGGCGCCAGGAAACCGCGAGGAAGAGGATGATTTTTTTTTTTCCCCGGAGGGGCGGGGGAAATGATCTCTCAGGGGACAGGGAGCCCGCCGGGAAGGGCTCTGGGGCGCGGGAAGGCAAATCCCTCGCTGGCTCCCGGAGCCGGCTACGGGCGTGGGAGCTGGCGGAGTTGCCTGTCCCCCTCAACAGCTTGTGCGCCCGCAGGATGGCTTAACCCAGATACGAAGGGTCAGCCCGCGGGCTCCCAGAACATCACCTTTGCTCCTCTCTTGGTCTTTTGGGTAACACACTACTGAGATTTTTTTTCTGGCTTCTTTGCCTTGCTCAGGAGCAACAGCATTACGTAGGCAGGACCCTGGTTGCCAGTGCCAAAATCAGACCCTCCGCTATGTCAACACTGAAAAATAAGAACGTTCAACAAGGGCAGCTCGACAGGCAAGGGCTGAAGCTGGGGGTTGCTCCAGCTGCGCGATGCCAAGGAATGGGAAAGGCTATTTGGCATCACGCCCAATAACAAAATGTGTGGGTTTTCCACTGAGAGGGGCTGTGGCAAGGAAAGGGGTGCAGCAGCGGCACAGGGGGCTTTTCTCCCTGTTCAGGTTGAATTGAAGCAGCAAGCCCAGCAGCTGCCTGAGAGCTTAGCAGCACTGTTCCCTAAAAGCACCAGCTTTCCTGAACAACCATCTCACCTCTGGACCTTGTGAGTAGTGCTCCAAATGTCTCTTCCCAACTCTGTCATGAAGCTACTGTCGTTCCTGGGGGTGTAGAGGAATAAAATGGCATCCCCAAGTTCCAGGAGGTAGAAAAATAAAGTTGAGTCTTCTGAGTGCCAGGTGCAGGATGAGCACTAAAAAGCATTGTTTCCACTCTCTCAGCTTTAACACACCAAAATGCTAAAAGTAAGCTCTGTCACTGCAAGATGCAGGGAGTCCAGGCAGATATTATACACCCTAGCCAGAGAGGAATAGAAGCAAGAATGAAAAAGCTGCTGTGTCAGATCATTCATTACCAATGTTTGTAGGCTGGTAATTTTGCATAGTCATGACCATTTCCACCCCAGAAGGTGGTTATGTCCTCAAATCCTTCTATCCATGACAAAGCAGGGCTCAACTCACTGGCATGAACAAGATGCTGTGTCTAGACTAAGCCAGAAGACAATTCCCTGTCCAGAATTGTCTGTTTTCAAGCTGAAGAAGAATCATGTTCTGCTTAGTTTAAAAACATAAACTTACCAGTTTCTGTGGCTTGAACTGGACACGGAGACAGCCCCAGAATATAACTGTGTTAGGCTGGAGAAGAGTCTCCATTTTAGCAACAAATTCTCAGTAAATAGATCAGAGCAGCTGCAGTAGTGAAAGATAAAGTGAGGAGATGTGCACCTGCCTTTCTGTCTAGCCCTTTTCATGACTTGTCAGACACACTTGCCTGAGAGTTGCAAGAGCTAAGAGTGGCATTGGAAGCTTTCCAGAAGCAGCTGCTGGAGGTAACAGAAGTGGCTAACAAGGATGTTCAGTGTCTGTCCCTGCATTACAACTACAGTATTATCCATGTGGTACACAGAGGGTGAAACAGTCTTCCTCACTTCATAATGGGCAACGTGCCCTGCAGAGGATGTATTCCTGGCACTGACAACAATCCACGGCACCTGGGAACAAACCTCTCATCTGCTCAGCTCTGGGACAGCTACACACTTTCCACACAATGATGTCCCTCGTGTTGCCACATACATCTTGATCTCACTCCTTTTCTACTTGTGCACAAGACAAGATTAAAGATTAGTAGCTGAACCATCCACATTAACAGTAATTAATTGTTCCTACTAATTGTTCTTGGGTTGCATCATGCAGGAGAATAACTGCAGACCAGTGGGACCTCAGGATTTACACAATATGTGCAGCTTACTGACATGCAAATGACAGTTCTTCAACTTTGAGTTGTTCTGAAGTGGCAGTTTTCTAGGGGTAATTCATGTCCTGTATGTTATTGTTTAGAGAAAAGCAACAAAGCAAACCAGCAATTTGGACCACAAGATGACTCATCCTGATTTCAAACTCCTTTGTCTTTCTTTGGTCTGTGCTGGTAGAATAAAATCATCAGGACAGGCAGAAGCAGGTCCAAAGAACTGAGTAAGTCCCAAACCCTTTAGGGGATGGAGGGCCAGACTTAGGATGCAAAGCCAGTCTATCACACAGAGAAAGATATTTCCTTTAATGAAAATATGAATACAGAGATCATTGAAGAAACTGGTTTTGGTCAAGGACAATAAATGTTTAAAGCATGATTATAAGAAAACAGAATGAAATTAAAGGCTTACCATTAGACTGTACAACACACACTTCATCTCTAGGAAGACACAATTTCCCTTTCTAAAATCAAGAAAATCATGGTCTGTGTCTCCAGTGGGGGGAAAGGCACCATGATTGGGTCTCACTAGCAAAAGCAAGTGGGAAGAAAAAAAAAGCAAGCACATCTGCCCTCTGTAAAAAGCTGCAACAGGTAGAATTGACTCTAGATCTCTTAATGAAGCTACAAAGGCAGTCTGGCAAATAACCCACACCTTAGTCATGGACACAAAAAGGTTTAGAAGAATTTAAAAGTTTTGCTTTTCTAAAGGAAGCAATTACCCCTGTTTGTCCCACAATCTTACTGTAAAGTATTCCATTTATCATTACCTCCTACAATGATCCTACAGTGAAGATCGGCTCTTAAGATTGGAGGCCCACGGTCTTTTGCAAGCTACTTCCTTCCCAGTATTTCAAGAACTGAGGACATCAGTGCCGGTTTTGCAGACTGAACCCCTTCCTGAACCACAAGCCTCGGGTGGGGTGAGATTACTGCCTGTGAAGCAGAAAAGCACTGTCACCACACACCAATGCTGATGTTCATGACATCCAGGCAATAATGAAAATGCAAAGCTTGACTCAGGCTTGTAACTGCTGCAGTTAGCAGAGATGATGGGGAAAAAGAAGAAAGGGGGATTTCATTTTCCATAGAAGCAAGGCTTTCTATGAGTAGCCTAACCAGTGAAGCACAATATTCTCCTTTTTCTAAGAAGTACCAGTTCCAAGGCCTGCCTAGTTGTTTCTACCAGCCTCAGGGTGCTATTAGATGAATGGAGCACAGGGTTTAGCTCCAAGAGCTAATGCTGGTATACTTGCAGAAGTGCAGTTTTACCAGATGAGGTGGGGGATGAGGCTGCCCAGCAGGAGCTGTGTCCAGTACAGAAAACCACATGGGAAGCACAACAGCACCACGTGCTCTCTTTGAAAACCCCGTGGGGCCCTCTGAGCAAGTGGACATCCCAGGGACCACAGCTCAGCTGTGGAAATGCACAAAGAAGAAAGCTGCCATTGTGGTACCAGATGGCAGGCATGTGGCACTCTAAGCTTGCACATGCTGGTGATGTCATTTTAGCAAAGGTGCTCATAAGGCTTCAGAAGTTCACATTATGAGGTTTGTTTGTAATTACAGTCTGTCCATACCATGGCTGGCATGGCTGTGAATTTACTGGGGTGCTGCAGCTACCTGATTAGTCTGTAACCTCCCTGGCAGTCGTGGTCCTAAGCCATGCAAGCAGAGCCAACAGGGATACAGGTGAGGGAACACACCCTATCTCCCATTTCCCTGAGCAGAGGAATTGTATGATGAATGTCTCAATGCACCAAAGCGCACTGCTCCTCACACAGTTAGTCTTCATGAGACACTTCAGATGAATTATACCATGTGTCTGTGATCACTGGGTTACACCTTAGCATGGAAATTTCAGGTCAGGACAAGGAAATTCTGTAACCATAATAGAGGAAATGCTTTCTTGAGTAAAACGAAAGTGTGTAATCTTGTTCAAAAGTAATTTTTCTTCCTCCACATTGTATTTCAGATTGTGTGGAGACAACTTGTTTAAACAAGGCAGTCTACTTATCCTGTAAAAAGCATTAACTCCTGGCTCCTTCTCACCTGAAAATCACTTAAGGAAGTTTGGGGGTTTTTTTTGCAATGACAATAAAGGATATACGTACTGGCTGTCTCCTAAAATACTAGCATCCTGTGAACTCCATGTAATTTTCTGATCTTCAGCTTCCCACAATGTCCATAGGGTGTCTACTTACCTTAAGCAAAAATGGATTGCAGTCAGAAAGGATGGAAATTTTAACAAATCATGATATTCTCTAGAGTTGAATTTTCATTTTTCGTAGAGATGAAATTTCATTTCATCAACATTTCCCATGATATTCCCTAATTCCCTACTACCCAGTCCCTAGAGACATTTAAAATAAATTAAACCCAAAACAAAAAATGCAGCTAGCATTTGAGAACAAATCATACTGCAAGCAGTCTGCTTCCCCATTTGGCACCAAAATCTCTGCTAGCCAAAAAACTCACCACTCCTCTCCCAGTCCTACAGGGTCACCTAGCCATTTCCTTCCTGCCTTTCCTGCCTCCATTTAGGTGGACAGATTGTCTTTCCAGTGCACAGTTCCACTGGAGAAGGCAGTGCTGTTCCAGTTAAATTCACCAGTAAGTCACGCCTGTAAAACTAGGGCAAAGTTTGGAAATTCTGTCAATTACTCAGGGGTTTGATAGGCCAAAATATATAGCTCTGTGAAACTAAGCAGACTGTCATCTGAGAAAGACAGAGGCAGGACTGCAAGGCTTGATGGAGTGACCCCGGCTACAGCTGTAGAACGGTGGTTAGCAGTCACTCAGCTTAGGCAGGTTAAGATGGAGCAGCTCTACCTGAGCCCTTGTGGCACACACTCCCAGGATCAGGACTGTGAACACCACTCTAGTTTATGCCTTGAGTCTCTGCACCCAGGTAGAGGGGAGGAGTCCTCTACCTTGCTTTCCTGGCACGCTCTGTGGCCCCTCCAGCCACTCTGAACACCTCAGTCAACTGAAAACAAATTTAGCAGTGGCAGAAGGCATTTGGCACCTAGAGGCTTTTCCATGACCTTCAGTGTCACAGTAGAGGACAGGAGACCTAGTAGCAAATTCTTCTGAACAGCCCAAATACAAGGACTGTTTCAATCAAAATGTGTTCATGATAAAATAAGTCCAGAAGTAAAACACTGAGTATATTAGTTGCAATTCTGAAAGCTATGAAGGCTATTGTTCCCTGCTATTTCGAGGTTGCTGGTCTGGAATGCTACCATCACTTTCCAGAAGGCATCTAAGAGGCACTTCGTCCTTCTTTGTGGATTGTGCAATTTGCGGGTACCCACCTGGCACTTAACTCTGGAAAATCAGCACAGCAGCACACAGAAGGGGCACACGTGGTAGGGCCCAACTTGAAACGGTAAGTGTTAAGTCATAACTTCTGAAGGGAGAAACAACCTACCTCCAAACTGGGTGCCTGTCTTTATTGGCGCAAACAAGATTACAGGCCATTTGGGAGTGGGCTGAAATAAGCGCTCCTTGATCAGAAGTCACACAGCCTGGCAAGTCATAACAAACACTCCAGCACATCTCTGTCAGCTGCAGACCTCTTCTGGATTTTGTTTCCCAATGCTTCTCTGACAGACAGCAAGCATACATCATCCCTTTTCATAGCAACTTCAAGAAACCAAGACACCTACATAAATCACCAACTGGCAACAAAAATCTACCAGTTGGAGACCACCACTCCTAATACACAGAAGTGAACCACAATGGACAACATTGATCCAGTTGTCATCATCAGTGAGGAAGAGGACAGTTACATTAAAAGCTTAGTTGGTGATCTCAGTTTCTCCAGGCAGAATAAAAGCCTGTGAGACCAGACCCCTCCTACGCAACTGGCAATGCACTGAGGACATATAGGAAGTCCAGCAGTAGGCTCTGTGGCTTAGTTTTGCAGTTGAAGTGCCAGCACTGGGTTGCCTAGGTGGGACATGAAGGGACACAGGCTCACCATCTCTGCTAAGTCCTAGGACTTACAGTAGTAGGAACAAATCCTTACGAGGCAAGCCAAAGGATGTATGAGAACAACTGGGTAAACAGAAGAATTACCGGACTAGCCGTATCTTTCTCATTTCCCAATAACATATGTGAAACGTCTACCGGGTATTCTACCCAGCATTGCTGAAAAGGCGCCGCAGTTGCAGTAAAATACTCAGATATCCAAACCAAAGAAGAAATTGAAGTATATTCCAGGGCTTCTTTTAATCCAGCATAAGTATCGTATAAAAACATTTCCCTGTACAGTAACATTAAAATAAGAAACATTAATAACTGAATCTTGTTTCAGCTAGTATTAAGTTTCATCATAGCTAATGAAAACCACCAACAGCTGCTCTAAAACAGCCCTAAAAGCAATGAAAAGGAGCTCACTGACTGCAAAGGTGCAGATTGCTCCTAGCTCTGGGCATCTCAAAATACACTGTTGAGTGGAAAATCTTGTCTCCCTAGAAAGGAACACAGTCTTTAAAAAAACACCAAGAGAGAATTATGTTGTCTGCCTGGTTATCTGAGACTTCCCATATTTACAGAGAGATTCCAGAGCTGCCTGTTATAAGGAACTTTTCTCCTTGTACTTCTGGTAAGCATCCAGTATCTCCTTGACAACACTTGGATCATCAAGTGTGGTGACATCTCCCATGTTACTTGATTGTTCAGTGACTACTTTCCTCAGCAGCCTTCTCATGATCTTCCCTGATCGAGTTTTAGGAAGACGTTTCACCACCTGCAGAGAAGGGAAAGACACACCTGTAATGGAACCTGGGCCCTGCTGGAAACCAGAAGGAAATTTGGCTTAACGGTCCTAAGCCTGGTACACCATCTCATGGCCACAGCTTCTTTGAGGCTCCTGGAAAATACTAGACCACAGAGTACACTAGTTTATGTCCAAGGGAAGAAGCGTCACTAGCCTCGGTGCCTTGTGCTATAAATTTTAATCTTATTTAAGTGGATTTTGTTCCTCATTTACTCATTGTGTTATATGTCCAGGCTGGGTGCTGCAGGACACACAGCTCTTTGGAGAATCAGGTCCTGAATAAACTGTTAATTATTGAACTAGAAAGCTAGTTACACTCAAAAACTTAGGCACTGATGATGACACAGATCTCAACACATTACCAGAACAGACATAATCCCCTTTACAGGACACGAATATAAAGCACACAATACTGCACGCCAGCTACAGGATCTCCTATTCAAGGGATAACTGCTATCTGCTGATGTTTCTCTTTGCCTGATCATATCTGTCAGCCTACACACCTTCCTTCATAATCAGAAAGAAGAATGTTAAATGTCTTGGCTATACTTCCTGCAAAGGACTTAGCAGCAAATTCAAAGGCTTTAGCATAAACTTGAGCCTGGTAAAGAGTTCTCAGGCCCTGAACAGAGACACTAGCAGGTCTCATATTTTGCTACATGATCAGGCCAGTAGGTTACAAAACTCCAAAGCATGCAAGGAAACAGTTGTCGGACTTCTCTGCAGGACTACCCCCAAACACAGGGAAACGGTGTTTCTTTGCAAACCTGCAAGTTTTGGAAGTTGCTCTAATCCACTGCGGATGTCCTGGGCTGTTCCAAATTGAATGAGCCACCCTTGCTCCCTGCTCCTTTTGTATTCTGTAACCTGTGGCTTAGTGTCCAGCTTCCAAGCATGCAGCTAAAGCAGAAGCCTCTCAAAGAAGTGGTCTGGTGGCTGCCTCCAAGCAGAGTGTGGCATGGATGCAGGTGGGTCTTGGGGGGCAGCTAAGGGGCAGCTTTGTGCACTCTCCCCAAAGACACAAAGGGAGCGGGTGAAAAGCAAGGAGGCTTGAAACAGAGCCTGGAGTTCATCAGTGCTCCCAGGGTCAGGCTGAATGGCTGTCAGTTATGCAACAGAAACAGCCAGTGCTTTGAAATGTGGGGTTGATGCTAACTATCAAAACAAAATAGCTGGGCAGTGGAAAGTGTCACTCTGCCTCTCAGTGACACTGAAGGTTGTGGCATTTCTCTACAGTTTGGCGGGGTTTTGTCTGATCCATTGCACAGGATCACTGACAGCAGTGCTACATTGCTTCAGCAAGGGGTTAGCTGAGGGCCAGAGCTGTATGGAGCAGCAATGCTGCTGCATGGTGACAGGGACATCAAGCACATCTTGAGGCACAGGGTGGCCTAGGGTTTACCTCTGCCAGAGCTCTCACCAAGCATGGTGCTCTTAACACTCCCTGTGCATCCTATTTAGAGGGTTGTTCAGCACTTGGTCCAAATGAAGCAGCCTCAAAGTGGCTCTAAAACATGCTCCTGTAACAGTCCCATCAAGAAGCTGTTCTGCAGGCTGGAGCAGCTGTAATATCCCAGCCACCCTCTGGGTCACTGCTGATCCTCAGGCATGGATGAGGAGCACATGCAGACCACTGCACCTTCCCTCCCTGACCTAGGGATCCCTCCAGCTAGTTCTGTTTTCCTGCTTCTTTGTCCTGCCAGATAGGGACAACAGTCAGCACTACAGACAGAAAGGTGACACTTGCTCAATGTGACCATTCCCACTCCTGGTACCAGTTACAGTCTCCCACTTACCAGAATGTGGTCAGGCACAGCATATTTTGCTATCTTGGAAGCCACTATGGTTTTGAGCTCTTCTTTGACACGGTCTATATGAGCTGTCTGCTCCTTTAGTACTATGAAAGCAAAGGCACCTGGAAGACAAATGTGCAGAAGCCACATAACTCATATTAGATCCTGGCTGGCAAGACCTGGGATGCTCATTCAAATGCCAAGGCAGGTTTCAAATCATTCTTATGTGCAATCTAGGGACTGCCAAGAAAACCATTGATCCTGTTCACAAATGGGAGTCAGACTCCAGCCTTCAAATAATGGCCCAGCCCTATCTTGACATCTATGGACCAGACTAATCTCAGTGACAGTGACAACTCAACATAAATTACTAAAGTGTCATTGGGATTAAAACCTGACCAACGCAAATTAGCTATTCCCATTCCGTTCAAAGGACATGTCTGAGCACAGTCCTTTTAAAGGAAGCTCTACCACACAGAAAACAGTTGAGGGAATAATATCTGCACGCATCTTAAGAACACGCAGTTATTTTCATGGCTGTCTTTGCTTCCTGGGGCTACAACGCCAGTCAATGTAAGGATAACTGCCCTCCCATTCCCTCAGCACCTCCTAACATGCAGCCCAGGTTAGAAATTAACAAAATTGTATGCAGGTATCATGTCAGGACACTGCTTTTCACATACCTTCTCCTTTAATCTTGTGCGGATACCCAGTCACAGCTGTCTCAGGCACCTCGGGGTGATCAGCCTTCACAAAAAAAGAAACAAAAACACACAGAGCCTAACAACTGCTTCAAGCCCTGCAGCATTTGTGCCTGTTGCTCTAGGAACAAAACATTTTGCCATATCTCACACTCCCCTTGGTAGATCCTGCTGAAAGTGCAACAGGAAAGCTGGACGCCACCTTCCTACCACATGCTCAGCTGGTGGCCATGGCTATGTTTCTAAGAATAGCATTTACAAACTGAATTGGCCCTGCTTTTAAACACCCAAATAAGTACTCTTATATATACTAAGCCCACTGCACACCAAGATGGAAACCTGCTTTCTCTTTCTTTGTCTGTACCCTCGTGTGTACATGGCTATGGTCCCCAGTGGTGACTGGCCGTGACCAAATCACAAACAAAATCAGTCCTGCATTGCTCTGTGCCACAGGGAACTGTTGCCAGCAGAACAAAAGAGAAGCTGCCAACATCACAGTCCACATTTGACTGGCATTTATAAGTGCCCAAAGCAGATCAGAAGGCAGAAAGAATCAGGCTTCTTCATTTTCCCAGAAGAGGGGAAGGGGTTTTTTGCCAAATGCATATTTTTATTGTTATGCTACACAACTGCGGTTTATTCTATCACACTTCAGAGTTTGATTTAACATTCTTCTGCAATAAGATGACAGTTTGGGTGTACAGACCAAAAGAAATCACATATCTGAATCCCACACCAAAGACTGGATTGTACTATCTTAAATTAGATTAAAATATGAAAGAAAACATCACAGAGCAATCTAAGCATATAAATATATTTGCATATACACATGCATAACATACATAGAGTGGAAGAGGAACTGGATTCTATATCTACAATCAGAAAGGAGAAAGTAGGATCCTGTGTGCTGTGCAAACATGGCTCAGGTTTATCAAATATTACATTTAAGTGCCATTTTCAGGCAAGGCCCAGTTACAGAAAAGCTTTGAAGATAAATGCTCTGAGGACTTTTTGTTTTTAATTCCCTGAGCTAGTATTATTTTCTCTCAAAATGACAGGCTAGCTTTGCAGCTGACACGAATCAAGGTTGCTTCATATTTAACACTGCTGAATTCTCAGGCATACTCAGCTCATTTGGACAATCACGAACCACAGATTTGAAGGAGGGCTTAGGTGTTAGCACAAGGGAAGGAACAAACAGGAGAGACAATTCCTTATGGAGACTCAACTGGCATCCACAATGTCAACTGCAACAGCACAATGTCACTGAGAGGAAACACAGCTCTGACAGTTCCACTGCAGGGACTGCCCACAGTGTGACTCCTCTCTCACTTGTCTTTGATTTTTAAGGAGATCCTTTAAGGAAATTTGTTGTCTCCTTACAAAGGGGTCTGTTTCCTTTTGCATATTTGCTATTCATTATGCATCAAGTTGTGTGTATGCAGGGGCAGGGGTTTGAAGGCAAGAGACCCTGCGCTTGTTTAAATTCATGAAACTTCTTTGACAGGGCCACCTTGCCCCAAAGATATGCCCTGTCAATCTTGGAACTGCTTGGAACTTACCATTGGAAACCTGCTTGGAACTTACCATTGCATCTTCTATCTCTGCTGTGCCCAGTCTGTGTCCGCTGATGTTAATGACATCATCCATACGCCCCGTTATCTGGTAATAGCCTTTCTTGTTCCTGTAAGCACCATCCCCTGTGAAGTAGTAACCTATAGCAAGACACAGGGGCGGTCAGCAGCAGGAAGTGTACCAGCCTGTTGCTTTGGGCTCTGATGCAGAACAGATGATGCTCTAGGACAGCAACTAGGGTAAGGAGGATCAGGCAGCTTGCAGGGCCTCATAAGCTTACAGCTGCGTGACCTGCCACACACCATTTCCCACTACCCCCTGCCATCCCCCACCTTCATCTGCCTTGCCTGGGCTGTGCTGGCTCCTAGCAGACACCTGAGCAGCATCAAGACAGTGGAGCTCAGATCTCTGCCTAGATGCGCAAAATAATTGCAGGCAATCGGCAGCAATCAGGGGCAGATGTCCCTGTAGTAAAACCAAGTTCAGCAATACAACACAATGATGCTTTCTTGGTTTTACAAAACCAAGGGGGCCTCTTATCTCCCTAGGCTTTACACACCTACAGCTGCACAGCAACTGTGTGCCCAGGCCTGGTGCATACAGCACTGAAATAAAACCACTTCAGATGCTATTTGCCATTCATGCCATAGGGTATTGGTCAAATTCAGATCTGCTGCTAGCTACACCTTAGCACTCATGAGAAAACTACAGCTGTTCAGCTGAAAGGGAGCAGTTATACTACATTTTGTACATGGGAACACTGCCAATTTTTTTTAATCACTTACACTCGGACGAATGAAAAGCTATTTTCCCTCCTGGCTAACAAGATTCAGATCCCAGATAACAGCCCTTCTCCAGAATGAGCATGGAAGAAACACTGTTATCAGATTGGCTAAAAAACCCCAACCAACTCACAACAAGCATGGTGTTTGGAGGGTCTAAAACATTTGACGAAAACTGAAAAAGACCCAGTGGTTCCAGAAAACTTCAGTGTCACTAAGAACACTGTTGGCTCTTGAAGTTGGCTCTTCATCAAAGCCATGTCCACATCTGAACTGTTCCTGTGGCACTTCTGAGCAGCAGCAGGCAGCTAGCACTGTGAAATCTGAAGGTGGTTCTTGCCAAGACCCATTGCTGGCCAATTCAAGGCCTTTCAGTCATGCCTCCTGCCCTTTCAAATCAATTAAATGACTATCAACTAAATATCAACAAGATTTCAGATGCAAATATGCAGTGAGTAATAAGGGACTATGGGCTCATTCAATTTCTTCTACCAGTTTCCTATTCTTATCTTTGAAGCCATTTTGTACAATTTGCAGGATTGTTTCTCTAATTTTTGTCTACCTTGTAGCTTGCAAATCTCTTTCAGTTGCTTCCCTGAGTGAAGACAGTGGCCTTGTCCAACATCCTACAAAAAATGTTTCCGACATTTCTAATTACTTGCCAGATACAACTTGACCATATTTTAAAAAGGAAGGATGTAACACAGCATGTGACTGCAGGGATGAGATTCAGTGATGTAGGAGATACTTTCCAATCAAATACACCTGTTTCCAAGTGAGACACAAAAGGCACCAAGGAAAATGTTTTTGGACTTTAAAATTTGGGCATTAAAATGTTCTAGAAAATACATTTCCTTTTGACAGATAGAAAGGTCAACACTAAGACATGCTTGCAACATGTGACACACAACCCCAAGTAACCAAAGTCTTGCTGGTACAGAAATATCACGAAGTGCTGCTGAAAATATTCAGTCTACTTATACTGCAGTGCAAACTGCCTTCTCTTGGCACTTTCCTTACCTGGGTAGGCTTTGAAATAGGCATCAACAAATCGCTGCTGGTCTCCATAGATTGTTCTTGCCATGCCAGGCCATGGTTGGGCAATGCAGAGTGCACCGGACACATCGTTGCCCTCTATAACCTTTCCCTGCAAGTTTAAGCACAGGAAGGATGATCAGGTGAACAAAATAGGAACAGTAAGGGCTTCTGTGTCATTGATCTGGCAAGAGTCACACTGTCGCTCACTGCAGACCACCAGTGGAGGGCCACAGGTGGAGAAAAAGAGCCCACTCATGAAGCTACTGTCTGTATCTTGCCTTCCTCACCCCTTAAAGACAGCAGCACAGCAGATAAGACTAAAAGAAAAGTGAGTCCTGTGATTTTCTGGAGGGAAATGACAACAAAGATGACAGCAAAAACGTGCCAAGCAGCCAAAGGATGCCTGGGATGAGGCTAGAAGCAAAATGCCTGAACCCCTGCCTTCCACTTTTGTTAACTGCCACATTCCCTTACCAAACTGTACAAGAGATTACATGCTTTAGGGTTTAACAGAGCCCTGGAACGCAGATGGGGATTGCTCCACACAGCTTCACTGGCCAGTACCACTTTTCTCAGGGTCTCATGTCTTGTATTTTCCTTGGAAAACTCCACCAGTCCCATTGACTGCTCCAGTCGTGCCATGACACTAGATGTTGCATGTTCTGCTCCAACTGTTCAGCTCCCTGGTTCTCAGAAGCTGTGTGACTTCTGACCTCATAAATCAAGGCAGCAGCTCCTAATCAGAAGCAGTGTAAGACCATAAAAGTGATGCTGAAAGTGCAAACACTCCTCTAGAGATTTGCAGACAGCTTGCAATGGCCAGCTGGCAATCTATATGGACATTTGAGATACGCTCAATAAATAAATTGCTCATCTATTCTACCATTTTAATGGAGGAACAAACATCCTTCTAGACCCTGTTCCTCTGACATTAGAAAGGTGATTAAGGCAGAAACACACATCATCTTCTCTTCTGGGCACCCAGAACAGCCTTAACTCACATTCTCATCCATCAGCACGGGCACAATCCCAAAGAAAGGTCTCATAGCCATAGCCGGAACAATCTCAGCTTTCTTCTCTGAAGGCCGTGGGGCAATGCAGATGCCACCAGTTTCTGGAAAAATAATGAAAAACAAAATGGGG